TTTAAAAATAGGAGTATTTCCATGGAGAGTCCGAATGAATTATTTCTGATCCCTGCCAGAGTTTTCTCTTGACTTGAGGAGATTTGCTAAGAAGTTAAGACCTGTTGCTTTTGCTCCCAATTCCAGGCTGTCAGAGAGCCTCGGAAAGGCCTGAGTCTCCCCCTGGAGTTTGTTGGGTTTAAGCTCCGATGGCATTCAGCATCCTGCAGTGCCCTGGGCAAACCCAGGGAGCTCTGATAGGAGACTCCTCAGAATGGGGCCTTCCCGAGATTTGCCTGTTCCTTTTCACTCTGAAGAAGGCTCTTGGAAAGCTTTTTTTGAATTATTTTTCTCAATCATTGACTTTTATTCATCTTTATTGTTGAAAGTATTACATATGTCCCATTTTTCTCCCATTGGCCCCTTCAGGCCCACCCCCTTTCCCCCACCCCAGGCCTCCACCACCCTATTGTCTGTGTCCATGGGTTATGCATGTATGCATACAAGTTCTTTGGTTGATCTCTTCCCACCCACCGCCACCTTCCCTCTGAGATTAACAGTCTGTTCCATTCTTCTATGTCTCTGGATCCATTTTGTTCAACAGTTTATTTTGTTCATTGGATTCCACATGTGAGTGAGATCATGTGGTACTTGTCTTTCTCTGACTGGCTTATTTTGCTTAGCACAATACTCTCCAGATCAGCCATTGCCAACCTCTTGGACCCCATGGAGCTTATATGGTATCATGGGATAGATAGACACCAAAAGATGATGTAAAATTACTATTGTAGGGGCTGGTAGGAAGAGGGTACAGAGAATGGGCACTGCACACAGCTGGAGAAGGAAGGCCAGGAAAGGTTCCTGATGTGGGAGTAACTGGGGACAAAACCAGGAGAAGGAGAAGTCTGACAGGCAAAGAAAATAGTAGAGGATGGAGGGCCTTCCTGGTATCTGAAACTCGAGCGAAGGTGCAACATGCAGAGAAACTTGAAGTGCACTCAGGAACTAAAGGCAGATGCACTTCCTGTGTTTCCACTTTTAAATAGTTAATAGTTTCTAAAGATGTTTTGTCACAGAGGAATACTTATTACTGCTTATCAGGGCTCCTACCAGATAAACTATATTTAGTTCTTTAGCCATGGTGTGCATAAAATTACCCATCTACTTATTTGGGGTTGGAAAGGCTATGAGTCATTAGAATTATATACACCTGGGTCACTTCCCAGCTCTGCCACCCACTCACCATGTGACCAAGGGCAAGTTAGTTAAACACTCAGAGCTTTTGTTTCTTTATCCCTGAAACAGATAAAAATAGATATGCTTCAGAGTTGACTTTAGGATTAAATATCATGTTTGTAAGATACTTAGGCTAATATGAGCCCAAACTAGCCCCTCTAAACATTGGTAGCTGTCACTATTATATTGGTTGATATAAATGTCAATTTGTATTTTTAAATATTAAGTAAAATACATTGAATTTAGTAGGAATGGAATAATGAAAATATAATTTGATGTATCTAAATTACTGAGGCTTATGTATTTGGCTTTTTAATCATATTTTGTTCATTTATTAACAGGCAAAATCTCAAATATTATCCAATGTATTGGATGTTGCCCATGGGTTTATAAAGGAAGTTAATCCAGATAAACCCAAAGGGGAGAATCGCTCTCCAAAAGAGATTAGTAAGAGTCAGCATCTACCCAAACCTCCTCTGCTGAAGGAGAGCAGCTCCCAGGTAAGCTGTGGGAAATGTAGGAGACATGTCTGTCATATACGGTCATGGAGACGGTCATGCATATACTTAGCGAGAGCTGTAGAGTTTTGGAGATTATTTTATCACATTGTTATTTAATATAAATTTTTTTTATTAATCAAAAACATCTTGACTATAACAATCCCTTTAAGGAGATTGCTTTGATTGCACTGGATGCTGATTTCTTAATGAATTATCCTTTGACTCTGTGGCTTTCTGGGCATTTCCACCATTTCAGGAAATGAATGAGTATTTGGGAGGAACATAAAAATAGATAACACAATATAATGGCTTTATATTAATCGGGACTTCAGAGGCTAAAAGTACAAAACCTTGCCACGTGTCTTAGGTGACAGTGAATCTCACAGCTTTTTATAATCGGATTTATACCGAATGCTGGTAGTTGAGATTGATTACTGATCCCATGATGTGCTAGATAAGTTTCATCAGCTCATGTCCATATTTTTATAATAGAATTGCTGTATTGACTTTTTTAGCAAAAGACAAACTTCCTCAAATTTTAATATAATCTGTGTGCCAGATAATGTCTTAAATATTTTACCTGTAACATCCATTTTTTATCCTTTCTTAATTACTTCTTTTTCTTTCCAGATGAGAAAATAGTGGCAAAAAACAGTTTTTATATATTTCCTGAGGTATTATTGGTAGTGGAACTTATGTATGAACCCAGATATTTTGATTCCAGATTACTTGCTTTTAACCACTACCCAGAGACTGTGATTTTAAGGTTTTTCCTTCATGCCTGCCATTTTATCTAATTTACCCTATCAATAATAATGATAAGTCAACAATTAACTTTTATTAAACATTTGATGCTGGGCATTGTGCTTAGTTACTTACCTGCCTTACCTTATTCAAGAATCATAATAACCATATGAGTTTTGCATTATTATTACCCCATTTAACAGATGAGGACAATGGGGGCCTAAGTAACCTAAGAAAAACCTATAGAGCTTATTTCTTTGCCTGTGCTTCTAGTCCTTAGAATAAGTGCTGCCTCTTATCCACATAGGTAACTGCTGTATAGAGCCACCCCACCTCTTGTCTTAATGTAAGAACCTTTAATTCAGTGGTTTCATCCGGGTATATATATACATTTCCTCAGCTGGAGAAACCTTAAATAAACACTCAGCACTGAGTTCAGCATCTCTATGGGTGGGGTCCAGACATGTGAGGTCTTAGCAACTGCTCAGTGATTCTGGTGAGTATTCCTGGTTGGGAGTCACTGCTATGGACCCTCAGGTGTGCACTGGTCTGTGGTGCATGCACTGAAGAGATGTCCCTGTCTGGTGCTTGGTAGGCAGTGGTTCTCCAACTGTGATAAGCATCAGAAGAATGGATGTGCATTCCTGGTCTGTCACTCAAATTTTAATATTTTTTTTTCACATCTGGGTTAGAGTACAGGAATCTGATTTTTAGTTAGCCTACCAAGCAATTCCAAAGCCTGGAAGAGTCAAAATGGTGCTAATGCCTAATGTCTGTCTTTGGGCTTTCCTTATGGATTCAGGCCACTGGATATCCTTGGAAAGGGGTGCAGTTCATGGATGAGCTTTCATTTTAGAGACTGACACCTGGATTTGAAATACTGACCCTGATTTTCTTAGAGCTTTTATAACATCCAGAATTTTACCTAGCCTTTTTGATCCTCTGTTTCTTCTTCTGGAAAGTGGCACGTATATATGAAAACGGGAATAAACATGCCTTGCAAGGATATCACGCGGCCCAGGGGGTAATGAGTGTATAGCACCGATTCATCAAATTTTCTAGCCCTTTTAGAATTGGGCAGGGTCATGAGCTCTGTGTGGAAGTGACATATGATAGTCTAGGCTGAAACATTTAAGAACCAATGTACAATCTGCTGGCTTTTTTCTATTCTGTCACTACTATGTGGAAGCCAAGTATTCCAAAGGCACAGCTATAAAATGCAAATGTCTTATAGCTCTGATTCTGATTTGTTGTTTGGAAAGGAGCCTCCCTGGGGAGTTGCTGCAATCACCGCACACTGAAACCATTGCACTGAGTTTTCAATGCTTCTTCATTATGCCACACACACACACACACACACACACATTGCTTACTGGATGCCTGAAATTACCTTCCCACATATTTCTAGAACTCAATATTTTCCAAATTCATTATTTCTCTTCCAATAGATGTTACTATTGGTGTCAGCCCATCTCCCAGCTTCTCAGCTTCCCAAGCTGGCAAGAACAGTTATTTTTAATAGTCCTGTCTCTCCTGCCTCTACACATCCAATCAGTTACCATGTCCCATGCAGTTGACCATCTAAAGCCTCTCTTGTCTGTTTGGTCATTTCTATTCTTATTGTTATTCTTAATCCTGAAATTAGCTCTTTCTTAAAGTGAAAAATGTGTATAGGCTGTAAATTTCATTTCATTCTTTCTCCTTCTGGGGATCAATAACATTTCCAATTTTGTATGTAGTTATTTATTGAAACCAATATTAATATACTTTGCAAACTGCTCTTAAAACATGCTTTTTACACTTAACAAAATATTTTCATATCAATTTAAGTGCATTCTAGAACCTTCTCATTCTATATAATGGGTAAAAAATACTCCATTTATTAGACTTTTTAAGATTTATTTTCCACTGGTCAACATTTAACCTGTTTCAGTCTTTTGCCAACACAAACTATAGTAAAAAGAATGTTTTTGAAAAATGTTTTGCATATGTATGTATATTTACATAATAAATTCCTGACATTCCTATTGCCAAATGGCCATAACATTTTCCTTGGATCCAAATTCCCCCCCCCCCCCCCCCCCCCCCCCCGCCCATTTCTCTCTTTCTGTGTGTGACTCTTCAGTGGCTTTGTGTTTTCAATAAGTTTGTCTAATTTTCTGTGTGGCAGGCAGGATTCTTCATGATCTGCCCCCTCTTTGTCTTTCCACTCTTTATATTTTTTTCATATCCCAAACTATGCTATAACAATATAAACTACTTCCAGTTTCATGCCATACTGCTGTTTGGCTCCATGTCTCCGTCTATGTATCATCCCCTCTCTCTGGAATCCTGCCCGTGCCACTTCTTGCCCACGGAATTCTTGTTTATCTGAGTTAAATACCTGCTCTTGCACCTGTCTCTGTTGTGGACTTATTAACCTGTGTTCTGTGGCCAGCAGCTAGCACAGTGTCTGGCAGGTTCCCAGGTGGTTTTTCTTTATATTTAAATTGTTTATGCACTATTTAATCATCTTCTCTCAATTGTACTCTAACAATCTGCCTGTTTATTTTGCAATTAAGGACTGAACATAAAAGATCCTACTTGTGTATCTAGAAGATACACAATGCCGATTTAGCAATTTGATATTAGTATAGGTAATCCACACTTCGTGATTTAACATTAGTTTGGAATTTATTTTGCTTTGGCTTCATAATTTGGATTTCTCTGATTCAATGGATAACTGCCAATGCCAACCTTTATTTTTTCAGTGTGTTCACAGTGGATTTATATTTTATACTGAATTCATCGTTTCTCCCATCTTTACGCTAAGCAGCATGCAATGTTTCACATGCATTTATTTATTCATTCATTCAACCAACTTTTAATTAGCATCACTTTGAGCCTGGATCTTGCCACTGAGGGAGGAAAATATCCCCTGATTTCACTGCATTCTAATGGTTTGAGAGACAATAAACAAATACACATGTGAATTCACACAGAGATGTTATTTTTAGAAAAATAAAGCAGATAAGAGATTAGAATGTATGTGGGGAGGGGTCTATATTTTTAGATCATCAGCAAGGTCATCACCTACTCTCTGAGTAGGTGACATTTGAGCAGAGGATTGATTGAAATGAGTACAATGACTGTGTGGAGTGTGGAGAAGGCTCACTCCAGGCATTGGGTAAAGATAGTGCAAAGCCCTTAAGTGGGAAGGTGCTGGGTGAGTTCCCAGAACTGTAAGAATATAAGTTTGTCTGGAGCAGGGTAAGAGAAGGGGAAAATTGAAGAACTGAACTGAGAGGCAGGGGGTACAAGGTTGTGTAGGCCCTTGTAAGTGTCAGGGCTTGGGGGCTTCATACAGAGTGATTGCAGGGTTTTGAACAGAGATTTGCCCTGATCAAATTTGCAAGTTATGAAACTGCTCTTTCTGCTGTGGGGAGATGGCAGGAGCAGGAGATTGGAAAAGTAGGAGGATCACATACAAGACTGTTGTCACTTTCCAGGGAGAACACTGGTGCATAATAATGATAAATCGTCAGTCTTGTAGGCTCCAGTTTTAATAATTTCTGAAGAGACCATTTATAATTGCAGACACAGTTTGAAAGAAACCAGTAGAGCATATACATAAGTAAAATTTTAAAATGTTCTACTTGTAAGTTTAAAAAACGTGTGACTTTTAATGCCTAACAATTAATGCTATCTTCATTTTATGATCCAGAAAATTTAGAAAAGCACACTTAGATACATTTTTTTAATTGGTTTAGATGGAAGTTTCAACAACACAAAAAGGCGAGTGTATAAACCCGAGAGATAGGCTCTTGTGTGAAGGGTCATTCGATGAAGAAGCTTCTGCCCAGTCCTTTCAGGAAGTTTTAAATGAATGGAGAACTGGACATCATAATGACAATGGAGAGCAGAACTTGCCTGCAGCAAAGCCAGGTATAGCTATTTTTATAAAATGAATGTTATAAATAAAGCTGAACTTAACTTTTTTATCTGTGAATATAAATGCAATATTCAAAACTATTAACATTGTGATAGCAGTTTGATATAACTCCTCAAAAAAATATTCACTGTATGACCAAAGATTAGTGGTTTAATATTTAGAGAACCCATGATATTTATCCGTGAAGATGTGCATAGCTGTAGTTCATTCATTTTCACTGCTTAAGAGTCTTCTGTTATATGAATACTAGAGGCCTGGTGCACAAAATCTGTGCATGGGCGGGGGTGGGGGTGGGGTCCCCTCAGCCCAACCTGCAACCTCTCCAATCTGGGACCCCGTGGGGGATGTTCAACGGCCGGTTTCCGAGGATCGGGCCTAAACTGGCAGTCGGACATCCCTCTCACAATCCTGGACTGCTGGCTCCTAATCACTCACCTGCCTGCCTGCCTGGTCACCCCTAACTGCCCCCTCCCCCCAGCCTGCCTGATTGCCCCTAACTACTTCCTGCTGCCACCCAGGTCTCCCCCAACCCCTCCATCCCTGCTGTCCTGGTTGCTCCTAACTTCCCCCACCCGCAGCCTGGTCACGCCTTGTTGCCCCCCTCTGCCAGCCTGGTTGCCCCCAACTGCCCCCCTCTGCTGGCCTGGTCACCCTCGACTGCCCCCCTGCTGGCCTGGTTGCCCCACACAGCCTGCTTGTTCAGTTGTTTGGTTGTCCCTCACTAGCCCCCCTGCCGGCCCGGTCATAGGCAACCATCTTGTGAGGGTGCGAGGGTTAATTTGCATACTACCTCTTTATTATATAGGATAGTACTATCTGCCTATTTGAATGTAGATGGTTATTGATTCTCATTTTTGCTATACAAATGGATGATGCTGTTGTGAATATTCTTGTACAGGTCTCCTGGAACACATGTGCACACATTTCTAGGGTGTCTATTCCTGGGAGTGGAAGAGCTGGGTCATGGGTGTGCATGTACTCAATTATACGAGATAAAGCTGAATTATTTACCTAAGTGTTTGTATCAGTTTACATTCTCACCTGCAGAGTGCGAAAGGTTGGGTTGCTTCCCATGACCAGCACTTAAATAATCAGATTTTTAAAGTTTTGCTGGACTGATGGAGATAAAATGGTATAACTAATTTTGCATCTTATTTCAAATGACATGAGTATCTTTCCAAATGTTTTTTGGCCCCATTTCGTTCAGTAATGTGCTTTGAATTTCCAAGTTTTCTAGTTTTTTATTTCCCAGAAATCTCCATCAGTTTTGAATATCTCTGAATAGTGGTTTTAATTTGGTAGTACTTCAGAAACATCGGAAGCATCTGGAAGTAAGTTGCCATGTCGACATCAATTCATGAAGAAAGTTGTCTCCTCCAGGTGCTACCTTCTGAGTTATTTCCTTTCTGTTTCCCATCTCTGTAAATATTATTGTCAGTGACTATAATACATACCTTTATGTTTGTGTGTGCTTATGGAATATATAATGAATCTGTTTGTTTTTATCTGTTAGCATTTAAAAGAATTAGTTGCTTTTAAAATCCTTGTGAATCATAAGATTTAAAAAAAATAATTTTATTGATTTTAGAGAGGGAGGAAGAGAAGAGAGAGCTAGAAACATCAAAGATGAGAGAGAATCATTGATGGCTGCCTCCTGCATGCCTTACACTGGGGATCAAGCCTGCAACCTGGGGCATGTGCCCTGACCGGGAATCAAACTGTGACCTCCTGGTTCATAGGTTGATGATGTTCAACCACTGAGGCACTCTGGCCGGGCAATCATAAGATTCTTTCATTTCAAGGGATTATGGAAGAAAACTGTCTATACAGTTATTTGATAAATCATCAATATTTAAAACTTTTGCATTATTTAAGCCCAGAACTATTGATTATAGATGAATATCAAAGCATATTTGACAAGTTCTGTATCTTGGGAGAAGTTACAATTTATAGGCTAGGTTATATTAACTATGTATGTTATATTTATTGTTATAGACTCATTGGAAGAATGTGAGGTACAAACCAATCTGAAAATTTGGAGAGAACCACTTCATATTGAATTTAAAGAAGACAGTATATCCTATATGGAAAAATTATGGCTTAAAAAACACAGAAGGTATTTTCTGAATTTTTGTATTATTAATAAGTAATATAAAATGCTATTTATATTTTTGCTTGTGTGACATGCTTTTCTGTAGCAGTTTTATATGTCTGCTTTATATTTGCATAAATAATTTTAAAGCAATATTAAATCCACATGAAGCTTCTACTGTTCTAATAAGAATTTTAATCCTATTTATATATATGATGCATCATTAATTTAGGGTTTCCCTTGAGAAATGTAAATATAAAGGTGGGGAAAAGGCATAAAACAATATACAATTTTTAGAATAATAGCAAAATAAAGTGATTAATGAAAGACTACTTTGAGAAGGTATTGCTCTTAGACATTTGAAATTAGCATAAACTTTTGAGGCTATATTTTTCAGAATTTACTTTTAAGTTTACTTAGACCTATAATTTTATAATTGTATCAATCAAGAGTATTCAAATATATTTTATACAAAGACTATTACAGTAGATTCACCATTTCATACATTGTTTAAAATTTAACATTAAATATTAATAAACAACATTTATTTTTCACAGTTCTTAAGGCTGGGAAGTCCAAGATAAAGGTGCCAACAGATTCAGTGTCTGGATAGAGCCTGCTTCCTGGTTCAGAGATGCCCATCTTCTCATTGTGAACTCCTCCCAAGCAGATGGGAGAGGTCTTTGTCTGGTCTCTTTTATAAGGGTGCTAATTCCATTTATGAAGTCTCTACCCTCATGATCTAGTCTCACAACGGCCTCCTCTCCTAATACTATCACCTTGGGAGCTAGGATTTCAACATATGAATTTTGTTGGAACACATTCAGAACAGAGCTTTCTGCTCCTGCTCCCTCCAAGGTCATGTCCTACTTTCATGCAAAATATATTCATTCCATTTCAATAGCTTTAAAATTCTTAACTCATTCTAACACCAATTCAGTAGTCTAAAGTTCACATTGTTATATAAATATCATCTAATTCAGATATGGGTGAGACTCAGTGTATGATTCATTTGGAGGCAGATTGCTTTCTAACTGTGAACCTGTGAAATCAAAGATGACATATGCTTCCAAATACAAAGGTGCGACAGGCATACAGTAGATATGCCTTGCCCACCAGGCCCACTGGGATGGAGGTCCCACCTTCTAGATACACTAGGGTAGGGCTCCAACCTCCTGGATACACTGAGGCAGCAGACCTTCTCTATAGCTTCGCTGGGCAGGCGTTGGGCTCCCAAGTTTCTGGTTGGCTCTGCCCCCATGGCTTTGGGCGGTCTCATTTCTATGGTGGCTGAATGCTATATTGCATCCCAGTGACGCTCCAGCATGGAACCCGGTGGCACTTGTAGTCTAGGGTCACACAGGTGGCCTTATCCCTACAGTGTCTCTGGGCATTGCTCTCTGCAGTAGCCTGGGCCTCTCTTGTTCTGTGATGGGAGGGATAGATTTCTGAACTGCCTTCAGGGTCATCGTTCCTTTGTCTTGGATAATAGGCTCTGGCTAATCTCCCTATCAGATGATCCTTTGGCCATTTACTTCCTGTTTTCTCCTGAATAGGCTCTCATTATTTTCAGTGTGGATAGTCTGAGAATGTTCCAAATTATTGAGTTTTGCTTCTCTTTTGATTATTAATTCTGTCTTTGAGTCATTTCTCTCTTCTTGGATTTTATTATGAGCAGCCATGAGAACCAGGTCTCTCACTGCTTAGCAATTGCCTCAGCCATATATATAATTTCAAAACTCCCAAGTTCTACCTTTCATAAAACCCTATGACAGAAACAAAAGTCAGGAAAGTTCTGTGCTGGTTTATGAATATAGATTGCCTTTTCTCCATTGTGTAGTAGCATGTTTCTTACTTCCATCTGATACTGAAACAGAATTTTTAGACTGGAACATGTGGTGTTCCCCTGGACTGGAACCCGGATTCTTTGTCTACCAGAGTTGAAGAATGAATCCACAGAAAGAAGATCGTATAGCAAAGGTGAAAATTTATTGAAGAACAAGTACAGACCCCCAAGTAGGGAGCGGGAAGAGTCCCACAGAATGAATTCCCATGTGGGGAGTGGGAAAGGGTCCCACTGAGTTCTTTTTCCCTGTGGCTTATAAAGGCTACAGATCCTGGTGCCTTGTTATCCCCTCTGATTGGTCACTATTCCCTTAGACTGGTTACTTTAGTAACTCCTCAGCTCAAAGGTCCAACCTCACATGGGACATGTAAGGTTCTCCCCCACCCCCACCCCACCCCCTTCCTTATTGTTTTCTTATTCCCTTTGGGTTTTCTTCCTCTCCTTCTGGATGAAGGGCTTCCTTCTCTTTATTTTGTAAATATAGACCTTTTGCTGTTCCCAGCTCCCTCATTCTATGGAAATGTACCTGATGCATCTTTTCAGCTCCCCTATTCTATTGAAATATACCTTCTGCTGCTCTGCAGCCCTGTGCTTCCTCCATGGTCCCCTTAATTTCTAAAATTTAAACCTGTCTTTTTCAACCCCCAAAATTCCTGTTTCAATACCTCATCAGAATGGCATTTACCACCCTTATTTCTACTGATATAGATCACCAGAATTGTCTTTAAAGGTCCATTCATAGCAATGTAGCTTATTTGTAGTTTCTTTTGCCTACAGTGAGAATACTGGCTCTCATGGTCTGTGATATATTTATTAATTTATCAACTTCAGTATGTGTATAAGGTAGTTTCACATGACTAGTATCACTGTGAGAAACAGACGCCTCAACTGAAGCACATGTGTATAGTGCTTGTACGGTTAGCCCACAGTGTCCAGCCTAAACCTTGTTTTCCAAAGTTGCTCAGGACATGACACCCATTTCTTTCCCACCTTCTTTGGAATGGCTTTACCATCCATTGATTACTTTTTAAAATTGACTAGCAGAAACTCCCGTACAGGTCTATGAATTTTTATTAATACCTCAAATCATGTGTTTGCCATTGTACCAAATAGCACACTTTGTTAATCCAACATTCCTTCATGCTTCCCCTCTATAGGTCTTCTGATATAGACCCCCACAGGTCTTCTCCCCTGACCTGTGGCAACCATTGGTCTATTTCCCTCTTTATACATTTACTTTTTCTGAATGTCATGTAAATGAAGTCATATAATATGTAGACCTTGTGTCCTTTATTTAGCATAATACATTTGAGATTCATCCATATTCTTGAGTGAATCAAAATCCATTTGTTTTTATTGTGGAGTATTAGTTCATCACTGTGGTGTACAGTTCACCTATTCAACTGTTGAAAAATAGGGTGCTGATTTCTAGTATTTTTGTAATTATGGTTAAAGCTGTTATAAATATTTATATATAGGTTTTTGTTTGAATATAGGTTTTTAATTTTCTGGGTAAATACCTGGGACTGGGATGGCTGAATTGTATGGTTTAAGTATATGTTTATCTTTATGAGAAAACTAGAAGCCCGGTGCATGGAAGGGGTCTCTCAGGGTGGCCTGTGGGGATCTGGCTGAAACCCGTAGTCCAACAGCACCTGCAGCTCCTACCTGCAGCTCCCACTCATCCCGGCCCCACTGCACCAGCTGTGGGCATGCGACCAATCAGTCCTAACCGGAGAGGCTCGCACTGCTGCAACAGTGCTTGCCAGCCATGAGCCCTGCATCTGGCAGCTTCCTGAGGGGAGTGGCCTGCAGGATCAGGTCTAAACTGGCTCTCCAACATCCCCTGAGGAGTCTCAGATTATGAGAGGGCACAGGCCAGGCCAAGAGACCCCACTGGTGCATGAGTGGTGCCGGGGAGGGACCGCGGGAGGACTCCCGGGCATGTCTAGCCCATCTCGCTCAGTCCCATTCAGCTGGACCCCAGCAGCAAGCTTACTTACTGGTTGGAGCATCTCCCCACTGGTGGTCAGTGCACGTCGTAGTGACTGGTCAACCAGTTGACTAGTCTGAACCCTGGTGGCCAGTGCATGTCATAGCTAACAGCTGAGCTGCCTTAGCATATTATTAGCATATTATGCTTTAATTGGCTGAATGGTTGGCCAGACGACCAGACACTTAGCATATCAGGCTTTTATTATATAGGCTTACAAACTGTTTTCCATAAGACTGAATAGTTTTGCATTCCTTCCTTCAATCTATGGGAGTTCTAATTGCTCTCCATTCTTGCCAGTGCCTGGTATTTTCAAGTTCTTTTCTGTTGGTGGTCACTTTAATAGGTGTGCAGTGTATCCCATTGTGGTTTATGTGGCAGGGTTTTAAGTTCTTCATATCAAATTCTGGTTATTCCTATGTAACTATTATTTAAGTTTTCTATGTCTCCTTTAAAGTGTGATGCCTTAACAATTCTTCACCTGTGAAACTCAAAAATTCTAATTTAAGAATTAGTACATAATAGTAATATCAAATTCACTTATCTTTTATTGTGTTTGCCTTTGATGCCTTTCACATGCAGTTTGTTATCCAATAAAAGTACAATTTCGTTATTAAATGAGTGCCATCATTTGTTTGGATACATACAAAAAGCTTTAATCATGGGCACATGAAATCCTGAGCTATGCTAAATACTAAATGTTGGCAAATTTCCTTGTTAGAAAATAATGATTAGTGAATATATTCACTAGGGTCTTATTTACAGTTATTTTTTTAACAGTGATTTCTTTTTTTTAGTTATTGATTTATGTTTTAATTATAGATGCTAGTGTGGGGCAATCTATTTGCAATTTACAAGTTTGTGATTGTAAATTGATTATAACATTTCTGATGCTGTACTTCTGAAAAGTTTCCCTTGTTGATAATGATGATCATGGTTAAGACTTTATCTTTGCCTATCTTTGTCATGTTTGATAATAGGTTTTTATAAATATTGTAGAGGCTGAGTGCATAAATTTGTGCATGGGTGGGATCTGGCCAGCTTGGCCCCGATCAGGGCAGATCAGGGCTGGGCCTATGGAGAGGACGAGCCAGTGGGAGTTTGGCCAGCTGGCCCACCCCGATTGAGGTGATCAGGGCTAGGCTGGCTAGGGGGAGAGGCTGTGGGCCCTGATCCTGATTGGGCTGGAACGGCTAATTGGGGGCAGGGCCAGCAGTGGGGAGAGTCTGTGGGTGGTGGGCTGGCCGGCCCTTCCCCCGATTGGTGTTGGGGAGCCAATTGGAGGCAAAGCTGTGGGTGGTGTTGGGGGGCCAATCACCGGCCTTGCCCTTGATCGGAGTAGCAGGGGCAGGGCCGGCCAGGGGGAGGGGCTGTGGGCCAATAGGGGTGATGGGGGTCCATCAGGTGTGGGGCTGGCCGGGGGAGGGGCTGCAGGAGGTTGGCTGGCTGGCCCCACTCCCTATTTGGGTAGGGGGTGCGATCAGAGGCAAGGCTGGCTGGGGAGAGGGGCTGTGGACTGGTTGGGGTGGGGTGGCGCACCACCATCAGGCCTATTTGCTGGCCACAGTGGGCGTCATAGCGACCTGTCATTCTGGTCATTATGGTGTTCCAGTCGCTGGCTTTTTATATATATATAGAGGTTCCATTGTATTTTGTTTTGTTTTTCTTTTTTAAATTGGGTAATAACATTTGTATTTTATGTGCAACCAATACATGTGTTTTAAGAGCTACTTTAATATCTTTAGTAGATCTATTAAATGCTAAGAAAGTTTCATGAAATAGAGCAGAGATTTGGATTTAGAGTATTTTAAAGGTGGATATTAGCAATTAGCTGGTTTTCCCACTCAAATTCCCCTACTCTTTTCATTACATGTAAGTGTCAAGTTTAGCTAATCATCAGAAGTACTGGGGCAAGTTTTAGAATATTGATTTATCTACCTAACCTCAGGCAAATCTAAAAATCAGTGTTTTAAAGGATGAATATGAGACTACATTTTAAAAATATCTTCCTTGGTGATTCTGATGCAAAAAGCCTAACAGATTGACAGAATATATTTAGAACTGCTCATCAAAAGTTTCCTCCAATGAATTGGTCAATGTTCAGTACATATTTATTAAATTTTGAGGTAATTCTATTCTAAAATATATTTTATCTTTTATTTATATAGCATGATCTTTAACAAGGCATGTGTGCCAGGGTTTCAATATCCAGAATGCAGACTTGTTTATTGACTAAATGGTTGCTTGTTTATGGGCAAATCTCAAATTCTCTTGGCCCACACTTTTCCATCTGGAAAATATTGAGTTTATAATAAACATTCGTAGGGCTCCTTACCTCCAACGCTTTACTATATAGACTCTGTCAGTCTTTGGTTCAGGGCTTTATTCATAAAATTAGATGTTTTTACTTTATGAAGAAGTATCTGGATAATAGTACATTTATGTGTATCTGTGATTGAATTTTAATATAGCATATCCATGTCAAACTGGAAAGAGATGTCTGGTTGCCAAATGCCAATTTGTCTTTGACATTTACTCTTTAATATTTCTATCGCTTAGTTCAATTATGGATATAAAATGACACATTCATTAATTTTTTTGACAAAAAGCTGAATAATATAAATATTTTGAAATATTCTTTTATATAGATTACATGTATTCAGAAAATACACATAGCCATAGATTTCCATGAAATTATAAAATTTTTGGTGCCTTTGAAAATTGAAAGAAAAGCAATATAGAGTAATTGTTATGAACATGGGCTTGGGGAAGCAGCAGCCTTGGGTTCAAATTCCTTTTCTGCATTTATTACCTGAATGACTTTGAACAAGTTGGTTTACTTCTTTGTGCCTCAATATCTTCATCTGTAAAATTAAAATAATACTAGTGCCGATTTAATGCATCTATTAAGATTTAATACCCCCAAATTAGTTGAAAAAGAGCCTGGTACATTTTAAGTTATGCATTAATCTTACCTATTAATATCACTAAAAATGCCTTGACTTTTTATATGTAGACTTCATGAGCCTGTATGGTTTTCAAGGGCTATAGTTACTTCTATTCTTTGTTAAAAAGTGACCAGCTCCCCAATAAGTTGGGAATGACCTCTGGGACACTCTTGACCTCTGAGAATCCCTGTGTTTCATTGCCTTCCTTATGAGATAGGGTTGGCCACACCAAACCTCATTGTTAATCGGGTGACATATGCATTGACAGAACACTTCATATTCATATAGTGGGGCCCTATGTTCTCACCCTCCTGGCTTGGTGGAAGCTTAGAATAATGTCTTCAGGTTCTCTTAGAATGTATCAACATAATGCACAAAGCTGTGGGAAACAACACACATTCATAAATTAGCTTTTTAAATAGGGTGGTATGTTTAATGGGCTTCATGTGGCTTCTGCAAGAACACTGACTTCTATCATAACTTTATTTTTCACTCTAAACAAAAAACAGTGGGATATGCAATTTAAAAATCTTATGTGCTGTTAATTTGATTTACAAAATTATTTTAGTGAATTAAGATTCTGTTATGCAATCATATTTTTCTTCCATGAATTAGAGGTACAGCTATGATTTCATTATTAATTTTGTAGACTCACTCCTCTGTGAAATAAATCAAGATCTTGTCAGGGAAGTTTTAGATAATGTATTTTAGTCTTTTAATTGCTTCCTTCTTGTTTTGTAGAACTCCACGGGAGCAACTTCAAAATATGCCACCAGCTATATTCATACCTCAGTGTACAACCATTAATGAGTCACAACGTTCTCAAAGTGAAAGTGATGAAGATAATGATGGTTAGTTTAGTCTTGATTAGACATTTTCAAATTTATTATTTCAAATTACATACCCTAAGCATTAATCAGCATCTGCTTTTGTTTTTCTTTACTGTATGATTCTCAACTGGACCATGTACCCTTTATGTCCTGATCAAAATGCATACTTTCTTCCATTTTTTAGATTCACTTTCATTTAAAAATTGAATATTAAGAACACGTATATTTTACTTGAACTAGGAAAATTGACAGCATTTATATATTTGTGTGGACATACAGGAGAACATTATCCTTTTATTTTTGGCTATGTTATTTAAAGATAGGAAATTATCAGGTAAAGTATATGCTTTGATGATATTATTTTCCAATTTTATTCCCTAGTTGAGGAGACTGAAGTACAATGCCCAGCTCTTTTCCTGCCAGTGGAAGAATTAAAAACAGAGAGACCTGAAACATCTGTAGAAATAGTTGAACTGGATGATGTGAGTGCTTAATGACCAGTTTATTTAACAAACAGGAAATTCATAACATATAGTTACAACTACATATTATTTTCAACAAGAATCTTTTATAATTCAACATAGTTTAATATGAAATTTATAAGTGTTTGAATTTAAACATGCTGCTAGTAATTAAACTTTTATTTTACTGTTGACAGTAAATTTCTGAATTGATAAAGTGTCATTTTTTTTGCAAGCATATGGTATGGAAGATGAAAAGACATTTTATTTTTTAACTGATAGACATGTAGTTTACTGTTCTTTTTAAAAATATATATATTTTATTGATTTTTTTACAGAGAGGAAGGGAGAAAGATAGAGAATAAGAAACATTGATGAGAGAGAAACATCAATCAGCTGCCTCCTGCACACCCACTGCTGGGGATGTGCCCGCAACCAAGGTACATGCCCTTTACCGGAATCGAACCTGGGACCCTTTAGTCCGCAGGCCAACGCTCTATCCACTGAGCTAAACCGGTAAGGGCTTTATTTAGTTCTTCATGTTATCAGGCTTTTAAACAAAGATTAGTGTGGTATTTCATTAATAAAATCTGTATATAGTTAGTTTTTATTAATGTCATTTAATATTTTTTTCTATTTAAGGGAAAATATTGTGAAGATTTAAGGGGTTTAGTGTATAATAACTTGAATACAGACCTCTAGAAGACAACACGTAGAGCCAGCTGAAGCTAGAGCTAGTCAGAGCTATAGCTCCGGGCTGAGAGTCTAAATTGTGACAAACTGTGTATTTCTGACTTTCTAATCAAGTAGCTGAATATAGCACATATACTTGATATTTATATTACTGTGATTGTGAAAGAAAAATACTAGAATGTAGGAAGTACTTCTTTAAATACTACTTTTTTCTTTAGGTTAATAGCCCCTGGTGTGTGTGTGTGTGTGTGTGCACGCACACGCACGCAATGCACCTAGCAACATTTTTATTTCCCCTCTGGATAAATTTAAGCTATTGAACAAATAAATACACAAACACACATACACATACATGTTACTAAATTCTTGATGTATACAGTAAGCTTATGCCAGAGAACTAACCTACTTGGCACTTAGTAGTTACAGTATAAAACATGAGTTGGTATTATTTTTTCTGGGTGTGACAGTAATGATTAAATGACTGACAAAGCAAGTGCCCTCAGCAAATTTATTTTGAATTTGTTGGATTCTTCTAGAAACTCATGTTCTATGACATATAGTCAGAGAATTCATGACATTATTAGTGAAAGAAAATTCTCTAAATATCACCTACAAGTTAGCTGGTTAACATATAATGACCCATTTATTGAATATACTAATATTATACAACATGTATTTAATAAGACTTACGAAGAAGAATTTGAAGAACAAGGAAAGGTCGTGCCTTACAAAGTCGAATTAGCTGATGCAGTTAGTCAACAAAGGTAAGGTCTTTCTAATTCACTTTTGATGCTATTAAAAACCCACCAAAAATCAACTCTTTATTTAAATGAGACATACATAGTATAAAAAAACAAGTAAAGCAATGTTTAAATTTGTGTACAATATTGCTAATATTAGTCAACATTCAATAATTAGAAAAGTATCCATAATGATATATTTATACTCTTATCTAATATCTGGATTACTTAATAGATGCTTCTGAATTTAAGAATTACTATTATTTAAAGTGACTGACCAAGGCCAATATATTTTATATGAGCCTTGTTCTTTTCTTCAAAGATAACTCTGGATTTTTCTCACTTCAGTTTGCTATGAACCATAAATAAAAACAGGTATATGAATAATTAGCTTGAGAGAAAAAAAGAACTCCCAAACTATGGATTACATCCTAGATAGATTTTATTGTGTAATAAATTAAGTATAATGGTTCACTTTGCAACTTGCTTTTGGTAGAATTTTGTCATTTCAAATGAAAAATAATATTTAGCTGTATTTTTTGTTATTGTTAATCCTTACCCTAGGATATTTTTCCATTGATTTTTAGAAAGAGTGGAAGGGAGGGAGAGATACAGAGAGAGAGAGAAACATTAATGTGAGAGAGACGCATTGATTGCTTGCTGATTGGTTGCCCAACCAGGGCCAGGGTTTAAGCCTGAAACCCAGATACATGCCCCTCACTGGAATTGAAGCCAGGACTCTTCAGTCTGCAGGCTGACGCTCTATCCACTGAGCCAAATTGCCTAGGGCTCTAGCTCTATTTGTTAATAAATTTTACTCCAAGTCCCCTTCACTTTAGCAAAGATTTCAAGGTGTTTTGACTACAAAGTATTAAATTGGTTAAACAGCAGAATGAAGTTTCTATCTAGTAATCCTTCGGCCAATTCTTTGTTTATATGTTCAGATAAACTTGGGCCCTTGTCAGCATTTAGGAATAGCAATGCTCCTATGTGATGCACTCAGATGTGAAAAGCCCCATGTTTTGACACAGAGACCCAGATGTCTAGTAGCAAATGTGCTTTTGCCATTTGACATTTTGACAGAAGGCAGTAGACAACCTCTGGTCAGTAGATAAGAGGTTTATATCCACTAATATATCCCCAGGGAAATGAATGCTATTTCTGCCCTTTAATTTGATTATTTTATATATGTTATCACAAATCTTTGCTTTGACCTCCCTGTATGGTATTAGAGAAGGCAGAAAAAGTTACTGATCATTGTTTAGCAACAGTTTAGCATCTTGGGTTTTGAGGTGCCCATAGAGGTTCCTATTTTCTTAGAAAAGTCATAAAGAATCATAGGTGATTCAAGAGGATCTTTTTGATTAAGCATAATGCATATGTTTTTTACGATGGTACTATATAGAGTTTACGTAAATTTAAGGTGTTATTAAATATATTATTCAATACATTGAAAATGTTATTTAAATTGTAACTATGCTTATATATATGGTAAGCATAATCAAAAATGAAACAAATACCACATATGGTATTTTAACTAAAATAGTTCATTTATGGACAACTAAAAGTTTATTTAAGTATAAAACCTTGATTTGATGGGAGGAGAATTGACCTGGGCTGGTGAACACATCATATAATATACAGATGATGTATTATAGAATTGTATATCTGAAACCTATATAATTTTATTAACCAATACCATCTTAATAAATTAAATTAATTTAAAAAAACACCTTTGATTTCATCACATTTTAATGAACTTAAAAGATTAACGCTTCATCTTTTGAAGAAAGAATATAAGGAACCACATTTATTTGAGAATTTAAGTGAATACCCCTATTTCTTTAAGGTTTTATTATATTTCTTTTAATAAGTTGGGACTTTTTACTTTTTAACATTTTTTCTTTCAATGCTATTCTTTTGCTTTTCCATAAACATGGAAGTTGCGCATTTTATGATTATCAGAATACTTTTCCATATAAAAATGATATCCATCAGCATCATGCTTTCACCAATGGAAAAACAGACCTCTTACATCTTCATCTAAGCAACAGCCCTTCTTATTGTGAAGATAACTCAAAAGGTAATGTTTTTCCTTGTTGATTACTATTATTAACAATAAATGTTGGTAATTTAATAGAACCAATTAAATTCTAGTAGAGTAATGGTAGTAGAGTATACACAAGCTTTGACTATTTTGCTGTTTATTTTAACCCCAGGAATTTTAGTTCTCAGAAGAAAATTGGTTGAAAGTATATTCACATGGGAGTTTAGGACTTTTACACAGCTCCAGATCTAGTCTAGAGGATATTTTTTAACTTAACTGTAGCATAGTGTTCCAGTTACCTGCATGAAAATGCTGAATATAAATGTTCATTAAGTGTTACTTTAAAGATACTTAATTTATTTAAATAGGCTTTATTTTTAAAAAAAATCCATTTCTTTATTGATTTCAGAGAGGAAGGGAGAGGGAGAAGGAGAGGGAGAGAGGGAGAGAGAAAGAGAGAAGAGAAACATCAATCATCAGAGAAAATCATTTATTGGCTGCCTCCTGCACGCCCCCTACTGGGGATCAAACCCACAACCCAGGCATGTACCCTTGGCTGGAATTGAAACTGGGATCCCGCAGTCTGCAGGCCAACACTCTATCCACTGAGCCAAACCGGCCAGGGCTAGGCTTTACTTTTTAGAGCAGTTTTAGGTTTGCAGCAAAACTGCAAAGTAAGTACAGAGTTTCCATATACCCTCTGTCACCACAAACTCATTACTTCTCCCACTATTAATATCTCAAACCAGAATAGTACATTGTCAGTCAACAGCCGTAGATGGACACATTGCCACCCCAAATTCATAGTTTATGTTAGGGTTCACTCTTGGTTGTACATTCCATGGGTTTGGACAAGTGTATAATGACATGTGCCCAGTATTATATTTTATACAAAATAGTTTTACTGCTCTGAAAATCCTCTGCGCTCTGATTTCTGATATCTCTCTTTTTCCTAACCTTTGGGTACCACTAATCTTTTTACTGTCTCCATCAGTTTGCCTTTTCTAGAATGTCATAGAGCTGGAATCATATCATTTGCAGTCTTTTCAAATTGGCTTCTTTCACTTAGTATTATGCATTTAAAGGTGCCTCTATGTTTTTACATGGCTTGAGAGCTCATTTCTTTTTAGTGCTGAAGTTCCATTGTCTGAATGCACCACAATTTATTTATACATTCACTTATTGAAAAATAGCTTGATCAGTTCCATGTTTTGGCAATTATGAGTAAAGTTGTTATATATATCTATGTGTGGGTTTTTGTTTGGACCTACATTTTCAGCTCATTTGGGTAATACTCAAGGGATTTGATTGTTGGATCACATGTTAAGTGTATATTTTGTTTTGTAAACAAGAAATCACCAAACTGTCTTCCAAAGTGGCTGTACCATTTTGCATTCCCACCTGCAATGAATGATGGTTCCTGTTCTCCACATCTTCATCAGCATTTGGTGTTGCCAGTGTTTCAAATTTTTGCCATTCTAATAATTGTGTAGTGGTATTTCATTATTGTTTGTATTTTCAATTTTCTAATGGCTTATGATGTTGAACATCTTTTCATCAATACTTATTTTCCATCAATATATCTTCTTTGATGAAGTGTCTGCTAAGGTGTTAGCCCATTTTTTCAGTTGGGTTTCACATTTTCTTAAGATTTCTTTTGTTATTTTGTATAACAGTCCTTTACTAGATACATATTTTACAAATATTTTCTTACTCTCCTGGCAGTGTCTTTCACACAACAGACATTTTTAATTTTAATAAAGTCCAGCTTATAAAGTATTTCTTTCAGGGAATCTGCTTGGTATTGTGTTTGAAGAAGTCATCATGATACCCAATATAACCTACATTTTCTCCAGTGTTCTAGGAGTTTTATAATTTTGCATTTAGGTCTATCACTCATTCTGAGTAAATTTTTGTGAAGGGTGTAAGGTCTGTGTTCAGATTAACTTTTGGGGCATGCAGAGGTCTAGTTGTTCTAAATCTGTTTGTTGAAAAGACAATCTTTTCTCCATTGTATTGTCTTTCCTCTTTTGTCAAATATTAGCTGACTATATTTATGTGGGTCTATTTATAGATTCTCTATTCTGCTCCATTAATCAATTTTTTTATACTTTTGCTAATACCACATTGTCTTTATTGTATAGTTGTATCATTCAGATATTTCTAGTATTACTCCTGTAGATCTGTGCATAGTTTGTTAGATTTATACCTAAGTATTTCATTTTTGTTTGCTAATGTAAATGCTTTTATGTTAATTTCAAATTTTACTTGTTTATATTGGTATATAGAAAAGTGATTGACTTGTATGTTTAGTTTGTGTACTGCAATCTTTCAATAACTAGTTATAGGAGCGTTTTTTAAATTCTTTTGGACGTTGTACGTAGACAATCATATTATCTGAACAATATCAAATTCATTTCTTCTGAATCTGCATTTCTTTTATTCCCTTTTCTTGTTTTACTGGGTAGCTAGGTTTTGCAGCTCAATGTTGAAAAAGGAGTGGTAAGAGCTTAAAACCTAGCCTTATTTCTCATCTTATGAGTAAAGCTTTTAGTTTCTCATCATTAAGTATGATGTGAACTATAGTTCTGTGTGTGTGTGTGTGTGTGTGCATTTGTGCTTTTTTTCTGTAGTTTCTTTTATTCCCTTTTCTTGTTTTACTGGGTAGCTAGGTTTTGCAGCTCAATGTTGAAAAAGGAGTGGTAAGAGCTTAAAACCTAGCCTTATTTCTCATCTTATGAGTAAAGCTTTTAGTTTCTCATCATTAAGTATGATGTGAACTATAGTTGTGTGTGTGTGTGTGTGTGTGTGCATTTGTGGTTTTTTTCTGTAGCCTTTATCAGATTGAGAATTTCCCTTTATTCCTAGTTTGCTGAGAGTTTTTATCATAAGTGGGTATTGGATTTTGTCATGTTTTCTGCATCTATTGAAATGATCCTTTGATTTTTCTTCTTTAACCTATTGATGTGATAAATTAAATTGATTTATGAATATTGAACCAAGATATCTAATTTTTATGACTTAACAGGGCTTCCAATGAATAGAGTAAAATAAACCATGCCTGTACATTCTGTATCACATTTTAAACTTTAATAAATGGATGTTTTGTCTCATTTTCAACAACAAAAGATCCTAATAATGAAATGTTGCCACCTTAGGTGAATATCATAGAGATTAATTGCAGACATTTCCATATAACAAATTTCATGTGTTTCTACTGGAAAAAAATCAGATAACTTCTATTTAAGTGTAGAAGGAAAATACAGCATTATTGTGGAAGTTTCGTTAAATTGAATAGCCTTTATAAAGTTTTTCTTATTAAAGCATTTCTATGACATATACATTATTGCATTTCTGATAGTATTTGTGCAATTTGAGGTGATAGTTGTTGGATGTGAAAGTTCTAAGTAAATACTACATGTAATAGTTGAGCTATATCAACATTTGATTGCAACAAGTCCTTTGGGCTGCAAGACAGAATTTACATCACTGGAGATTATTTTAGTCATAGCCTCTACTGTTTTACACAGTATATTTATAGAGACAAGCTGTTTATATTAGAAAGCTGATAAGGGATAATCAGATGAAGCTGTATTCATTCTGGAAAATATATGTAAAGTGAAAGCAAAGTGGTGCAAAAATTGTTAAATGATTTTAATTCCTCAGAAAATACAGACCAATGTTCACAACCCGAGCTGCACATTATAATCACCTGGAGAACTTGTAGAGGAAAATAAACCAACAAACAAAGACAGTGCAGTGCTCGAGTCCCACTCCCAGTGTTTGATTCAGTTGCTTTGGGATCAGGCCCCCACACTGACAATGTTAAACAGCACCTTCAGATGAATCCATTGTGCAACCAGGTTGAAACCAATGATCTAAACCAAGTGATATGGTAAAAGCAGACATGATGAGGTGGTGACTCATAAAATCTTGCTCATTTTGTAGCTTTCCAGAAGCAGGTGTCCCAGCTTAAACAGTTTCTATGCCTCTAACTGCTGCTCATTCATCTGGCAGATTTCTTTTTGCCTTCTCCTCATCACTAGCATGCTGTGGAAAAGAGGTGAAATGTGGAAATAAGATTCCCTCCGCATTATTTCTCATAAATTGCTGTTGTAAAACTTGAGTGGGAGAGGAGGTAGGCAAGTGGGAATTGAACCAAAGGCTGAATAAAAATTTGCATCAATTTCAAGATTTCATTACAAAATAAAATCTTGCCTCACTCCATTAGTCTCTAGCTCATTAAGGTTTGAATGCCTAAGTAAATCATGATTATCATTTAGGAACAAAAACAGCATAATAGTATCTTCACACTGAGAACTCAGTAAAGAAACATTGATAAAGTAGGGTTTATTGATACAGGTTTACATCACAGAACATTTGGTTTATGAACAGATTAATCAATGTATTTGTTTATATTTATTTATTTAACTTTTATAAATGTGTGTTTTCAACAGCAGGAACTTCAAATAAAAAATTTGGCAACAATGTGGATCCTGATGTATATTCTTCTGCTGTTGAAAAATTAGGGGAGAGCAGCTTTTCTGAAAGACATTTCAAAGAGAAAAGTATAATCGATATGGAATGTAATCAAACTCTGAATAATTCCTGCATATCATTTGCAAACAAGGATTCTTTTCCAACAGTAGATTTAGAAACACCTTCCATGAAGGAGAAATTGTCTGAAGACATCAAAGAATCCTTGGAATTTAGCAACTTTCTGGAGCGGCCAAACTTGGAAGATTCAAAAACTACAGAGTCACCACTGGTAAATTTCTATTATGTTTGTTATATTAAAATTTTTATAAGAAACATCGTAAGAAAATGTTATACTCACACAATACATTCTTAAATGTTTCCTCCAAGTGAAGTTAAAATGTACTACCATATATTATCACGAGGTAGTTGAAGATTGAGTAATATGGGAAAGAATGTTAATGACTTACAGGGCATCTCTAATATGGTAAATGCCATGATAATAAATGGCTTCTATAACAAATAAAACTTTAAGGCCTATCTCATGCCCTGTATTTACAGTGCTGTTACCTTTCTAAATGAAATTTTTTGTTATGAATATTTTAGTATAATAAATCCTTTCTAGATTTTTACTGTATAGTCACTGGCTAAAATGAACTAAAGGCATATATGTAGATAAAGTCAGTTTTTGTGGCTTAATGTAAGTATAGGAGTTAAAAGTATCTGTCAGGAACATGGTTAATAAAAAAATAGGGGTGCAGTTTGTGTTTCTTCTTAGGAAAAGTGGTAAAGTAGCTATTGGCAATAATTATTGCATTACCACCAAATTTTAAAACTATATTTAAATCTCTGTTCTACATACTAAAAACGTTAGGTAATAGTGATTATTAATAATAAACTCTTGGGAAATTGAGCAAGACAAATGTTAAATTCTTTGGAAATGGGCAAGTCCAGCAATTTAACAACCCTTTAAAGTCATTGGAAATGAATCTCTATGGTGCCTAAACTGAAGGTGGTACCAAAAATTCGGACTGGATATTGAGCTGCTGTTACTTCTGTTTGGAGATTGGATTTCTGTTCCTTTTTAACGTGGCAAATTGGAACCGAGACCTCTGCAAAGCTTTAGATCCCTAAGAGTCTGCTCAGTCTCTGAAGGGCTTTGCCAGGAGACACATTCTCTCCCCTCTTCCAGTGAAGAAAACAATTGGTCATAGATTGAATTTGTGCAAACAGAACAAACAAGAACTAAACTGACCAGATCCCACAGGGCATCAGGAAGAGGGCTGGTGACGCCTGCACATGCAGTGTGCTGTGTTAGAAGAGAGGAATCCTGAGCAAAGAAACCCAGTTCTTTTACACTGGGCATAGGCCTGGCGGACCTTTGCCCTCACAGGAGACATGGCCTTCTGTTAAAATAAATAAAATAGAACTATTTTTATAAACATGGATACATCTCAAAAATATGATGTAAAAAATTGAAATGTAAAAGGGTACATAGAGTTTGATAGCACTTTTGGAAACATTTACAATATGTAACTTTTTATGGATACACTCAAATCTAATAATATTAAATTATAGAGTAGAGAATGTCAACTTCAATGAAATAATACAATTAATTTATAAAGATTAATATATATTGTGGTATAGGAATTTCTTATAGGTGGAATCTAGTGAATAAAATAAACTGATGGACAAAATAGAAACAGAGGCATGAATACATGGAACAGACTAACAGCTGTCAGAGGGGAAGGGGAGTAAAGGGACTGGATGAAAGAAGGTGAAGGGGATTAGCTAAAGAACATATAGACATAACCCGTAGACACAGACAACAGCCAGAGGGAAGGGGATTGGGTGGAGGTGGGCACAGAGGGTCATATATAATAATGTCAATAATAAAATAATAAAATAAAATAAAATGTAATTCAGTTATATGTTCATTATATCTCAATAAAGCTGGACAAATAAAAAAGGTAAATCTGAAGCAAATCTTTAAATCACTGATATTAAATTGTGTGATCAAGTTAAATCATGTGTTTTACATATCTATATATTTAAAGCATTTCATAATTAAAGTTTAAATGTTAAAAAAGCTACTAATTATATTTTGATCTCTTATGATACTACTAGAGGCCCAGTGTATGAAAATCGAGCACTGGGCAGGGTGGTGGGGTGGGGAGGAGGGAGGATCCCTCAGCCCAGCCTGTATCCTCTCACAGTTCGGGAGCCCTCAGGGGATGTCCGACTGATGGCTTAGGGGAGTGGGGCTAAGCCATCAGTCAGACATCCTTACTGCTGCCCCAGAGGTGGGAGAGTCTCCCGCCACCGCCACTGCGCTTGCCAGCTGTGAGCTCAGCTTCTGGCTGAGTGGCACTCCCCCTGTGGAAGCACATTGACCACCAGGGGACAGCTCCTGTGCTGAGCGTCTGCTCCCTGGTGGTCAGTGCATGTCATAGCAACCGCCTTTCGGTCGATTTGCATATTAGCCTTTTATTATATAGAGAATTGTAAAAGAAAAAAGTGTTAAATGGTTACATCATAGAGAACAGCATTTTATAATCTACTAATGATGACAGGAACTGTTTTTATGCTCCTCCTGTCCTAGTAAAAGCCATTCCCTGAGTAGAAACTACTTGGACATTTGTTGTGCTCCAGTGGAAAATTCAAGCATGAGCAATAGGGATAATTTTTAGTAGTGGCATTACTTGACTTTGAAATTGACTGTATGGCAGTTCATTTTGCACTTCAGTTTTCAGAAATTGAGTTATTCATAAAGCTAGGACCACTTATGAGATTAAGTACTAAGTTGTAGAGTAGCAGCAGTGAGATAAAGTCAGGTGCCGGGGAGAACGTGGTCTAGTCAGGGGCTCTTGGTCTGGTTCTGAAACAACCAAGATTACTTTGTGAGTTTTGGAAGAACAAACTCACTTTCATTGTTCTGCCAATTAAGGCTTTTAAAAAACTTTCCAGATTTGTAATTGTCTAATCCAAACATGAACTCCACTACGGCTGAAGGGGTTCTATAGACTGGTTTCAGTGTCTGGGGGAACCAGTGAAGATACGAGTAGAGTGGAATTGGATTTATCTTTGAATGAGATGATTTATTGGTCACTACTTGGTTTTGTACATTTTAGCATTTATATAATTTATAAATTTGAATCAAGTTACAATAATTTCTTTTGTGTTGGTTACATTAGGGCATTCATTAGATCCACTGGGGAACTTTTAAATACTGATAGCCACTCTGATATTTTGTAAGCCCATCTGGAGCTCTCACTTCAAATCTTTAATCTGTTTCTTACCATATATATATATATAT